GTACCACCTTCAGGAAAAGACGAAGATGGATATCGGCAGAATGAGATAGATAGATAGAAACAAACGTAAAATGAGAGAGATGCCCACAAAGAGAGAGAGAGGGTACGAACGGTCTAAGATAGATAGATAGATAGATAGATAGATAGATAGATAGATAGATAGATAGATAGATAGATAGATACGATCTGATTTAGACCATTGATTGATTATTTTCTGAATCTAAATCATCTAATCTGATAGTGATTGTTATTTGGATATCTAAGCGTCCCCTTGTGACAAACACTTTAGGAATTTGTCTTGCTGACACCATTAGTTAAGCACTTGAACAAGAATACGGACACTTATTTTAGTCATGTTTCGCTAAAATGTCTATAAGGAAAATTTTCATTGCAGAGATAATGTTAATAATGATATGAGCAAATAATGGCTGTTAAAACGGCTGTTACAAATAAGCAGACGATAAAGGAAGATGCTTGCTTTTCCCATATCCCCCCCCGTGAGAATTACCTGCTTAGATTAACATAGATAAATAAAAGGAGAGTGGGTTGCGAGCGAGAGAACGTCGTCTCACGCACGCGAAAATTTACATTATTATATCGAAAGAAGACATTTATTGAAATAGATATTGTAAGTTGTCGATCAGAAAAGACGTTTATGCCATTAAAAGAAATGTTTTACCTTACACTTCCTACCGTACTTACCATCTACCTTTTGTTACTCTTACTCCTTACAAAACTCATAGAAATTTATATTGATAGCGTCTGATTTTTTTTCTCCTTTCTGTCTTTTTCTTGTCTTTTCTTTATTTTCTTCCTTTATAATCTTTTTTCCATTATTGTTATGTTTTTTAATGTTCAACTTTTTTTCAACTATTTTCCCCCCTCTTCTTCTTTACGTCTTTTTCTTTAGTTTCGTCATTTCTTCTTCTTTTTTTCTTTTTCTCTTCCCTTCTTCTGTCTTTCCTTTCGTTATATGTACTCCCTCTTCTTCCATTTTTTCACCTACCTTTCTTTATTGTCTATTTCTTTAGCTATTTTTACCTTTTCTTTTCTCTTTCTTTCCTCTTTCTTTTCTTTCGTTATTTTTACTCTTTCTTCTTTCTTTTTTATTTCTTTTTCTTTATTCTTCTGTTTTTTTTTCTTTAGCTTTGTTCCTTCCATCTTTTTTGCTCGACTTTTTCTTTCTACCGTCTTTTCTTTGTATTTTTTCTGTTCCATATTTTTCTTTCTTTGTTTAATCCTCCTAAATAATCTTTTTCGTTTTTCCACCTTTAACAATCGTTTTGTATTTCATGCTTTTTTTCTTTTTTTCTCTCTTATTCATTCTTTCTTCCTTGCCGCTTATTTTTTTCTTTGTTTCTTTTTTCTCTCCCTGCATTTTAATCCTAATCACACGCCATGTTTTACGTCCAAGAAAATCATTTATTGGCAATTTTCTTTTTTCTGTCATCTTTGTTGACTTATTAAAAGACATTTTGTTGGTTGTTTCATTTGCTTGGCGTTTTTCTCGACGCTCTTCTTTGTTCGTCTGTTTGATTTTAGTTTCTTCTTTTTAACAAATTATTTTATTTATATATGGGATAAGTTTTAACGAAAATGAGTGAATTAGATGGAATGAATGATGTCAAACAAGGATCGATTCTGAGTAGTTTATAAATGAGTAGAAAGAAAGAAAGAAAGAAAGAAAGAAAGAAAGAAAATATTTAATTGAAAGAAAAAATGCAATAGGAAACGAAAAGAAGAAAGAAAAAAGTTTACAAAAGTGAACAAAATGGAAAAAGAAAACAAGAAAATAAAAACGCACGAACGAAAATATCTAATTGAAAGAAAAAAAGGAAATATCTAATAGAAAGAAAGAAAGAAAGAAAGAAAGAAAGAAAGAAAGAAAGAAAGAAAGAAAGAAAGAAAGAAAGAATGGCTGGATACGTCAAAGAAAGAAGGATTATGCAAAAAGTTGACAAACTAGTGAACAAATTGGTGGAAAAAAATAAACGAAAGGCTCAAAGAAAGAAAGAAAGAAAGAAAGAAAGAAAGAAAGAAAGAAAGAAAGAAAGAAAGAAAGGGAAAATGAAGTGAATCATGAAGGAATCAGAATGAAACAGAAATGAAGAAAAATGAATAATTAAGGAATGAGAAAAGTCAACAGAAGATAGATAGATAGATAGATAGATAGATAGATAGTTAGATAGATAGATAGATAGATAGATAGATAGATAGAAAGAAAAAGACAGAAAGAAATAATAGAAAATTTTGATATCTATCTTTCCATCTTTTTCTACTTAAAAAAGATTCTGCTTCATAAATTTAACTATCAACAAATTTGTTTTCTCTTTCCCATTCGTTTTTATCTATTATTTTATTTTCCTTTTCGTGATTTCCCATTTTTTCTTTTCCCCGGCACTGTGCTGTGCCTTGTCTATTAACTGCTGAATACGAGCGTTTAGTTTTGTCTTGCCAACAATCGCAAATGCGGCGACAGAAGATTGGCGGCCATCTTCCTTTTTAACTTTTTTACATCTTGTTTGCGTTTGCAATTCTCACATCAAAGTTGTCATTTATTGCCTGACTGCCTTTCTAAGAACCTTAATTTGCATCAGTTTACGTACATTCAAATTCGTTTATATATATATATATATATATATATATATATATATATATATATATATATATATATATATATATTACTTACCACCACATACACCACATATCTTTATTTATACATAAGCTGATATCACATCCCACTGGTGATGAAAAAGATAATGGATGAATGTGTATTGGAGAAAACCCTCTCTTATAACGATAGAGCTTACCCAGATATTAACAGAAGAAAACAACCTATAGTTAGCCTTTTCGGGGTTCAAGTTTTCGGTTGTTCGGAAAATAATGTCGGATTTTAGAATAAACCATTCGTGTTCTAATATATTATTCTAATAGTTCTGCAAAAATACCTAACGATTGTTAGTGTCCTCTTTGTTAATTGTATATCAATCTCTTTCAGAATTTTACTTAAAGTATTTTATACGCGTCATCTTGAAGGAGGCACGGTAATGGATAGCGGCTCGGATTGAGAAATTGGAGAACAGAGTTCGAATTCCAATCGAATCCATTACATTCACTTACGTGCTAATACCCTTGGGAAAGGTACGAATCCTCTTCTTCTCCACCTTCCAGCTATGGGTAAATAGCAGGACAGATCGGCTTCTATAGCCTTGGATAGCAACTGGTCTACCACAGAAAGAAATGGAAGAAATGGGAGAAAAATCTGCCTCGTCAGTCATGTATCGGAAGATATATGATCGCCTAAGCGTGTATCACGCATAGCACATAACTGACTGATCTACACCTATTGGGAGTGGCTCCTAAACATGCGCTAACCGACTATTACCGTTTTTAGTCGCTGCAAAATACTTTGTTAGGGAAAAATTGTTTTTTTTTAAATTTAGGTACATAGGAACCGGAGAGCCGAGTTCGAATTCCAGTCGAATCCATTACATTCACTTACGTGCTAATACCCTTGGGAAATGTATAAATACTCTTCTCCCCCCCCCAGCTATGGGTAAATAGCAGGACAGAACTGATTCTACAACCTTGGATGGCAACTGGTCTACCGCAGAAAAAAATGGCAACATAATGCGGGAAAGATCTGCCTCGTCAGTCATGTATAGAAAGATACATGATCGCCGAAGCGTGTATCACGTATGGCACCTAACCGACTGACATCTTGAACATGTAAAAGAAGAAATGCATTTACTTTTTTTGCTCAAATTCTTCTTTTTTTTTCTCAAATTATTGCCAACATTAAAAGTTCATGGCGTGAAGGAGCCAGTTGTGCTCACACAGTACGTCGCTGGTTTGTGAAGTTCCAAAGTGGGGATACGAGCCTTGAAGATCAAGATGTTAGAAGATGAAATTTGCAATCAACATCTGAAAACATTATTTGAACAAAACCCACGGCAAAATATCGAGAAATGTCTCAGATAATAGGTTTCAACATTTCAACAATATCTGACCCTCTCAAGAAAATTGGTAAGGTGAAGAAACTCGATAAATGGGTTCCATATGATCTTAGTGAATGTCGGAAAGTTCTACGTTTGAAGTGCTGCATCTACGAAATTCGAATGATCCATTTTATGTTCGAATAGTGATTTGTGATGAGAAATGGATGTTTTATGTCAATCGTAAACGATCGACTCAATGGCTTTATCATGACAAAGGACCCAAACGCTTTCCAAAACCGGCATTGCACTAACAGAAAATTATGGTGAGAGTCTGGTGGTCCGCTACTGGCGTTATCCAGTACAGTTTTCTGGAATTCTTGGCGTGCATACAAAGGCAAATAAATAATCAAATTTATTCACGAGATGCAAACAATAGCGCTTGATGTGTTTAGACAGAGCAAAGACATATATTAATAAATATACATACGTTTTGGTGTGCGACTTAAGTTTCGCTGGTTTTCCAGCTCATCGTGCACAAAGTATATCTTATGTTTTTATAAAAATACACAGATGTCATATATATATATGTGTGTGTGTGTGTGTGTGTGTGTGTGTGTGTGTGTGTGTGTCTACATTCGTGTACTGGGAGTTTCTTACGGGTAGGTGCTGTATGCCAAAAGTGTTTTCTAACTCAGGGTTTCTAATTGCTTTAACCCGATCCTGGCTATAAGAAAGTTTGAAATTTCATTTTAATAATGAAGAGATGTACATACTGAGCCAATGTTTAGTTGTTTTTTGTTTTGTTTTTTTTAGTCCCTTTATACTATGTGTGCGTACATACATGCGTGAAAAAAAGACGGTAGCAGCAAAGGTTAACCTACTCCGAAGGGCTTTATGAAAGCCTATCGCTTCAACAGACATTGATTGAAAGCAGACGGAAGCGAAAGATGTGAAAAGCTGAGTAGATCAGAATGGCGTGTCGCGCAACTTAGGAAAAAAAATATCCAGCTGACTTCGAAATTTTTATTTATTTTCCTACTTATATCATCTATTTTTCTGTCCAATGCAGAACCCAGACCATCCCCAAGTTTGTAAGACATGGAGTTTAATGGGTCTTACCCTGACACGCTGGCCCATGACGTGTTCGCAGTTGGGGTTGAATTCAGGATTGTCCTTTACCTAGACTGATTGTCTGCACCAAACTACCGTTCAAGCATGGGACCACAACCGCCAACATAGCTATTGGTGACGAAAAAATGTGTTAATTTTTGTCATATACTTACATCTCTCTCTCTCTCTCTCTCTCTGTTTTTCATGTTTCTATCTATTTGAATCATCATAGTTATCTTTCTATTCATATCTAAGTCTCCATATCTATCTATCTATCTATCTATCTCAATTTTGATATCTATTTAACATAACTATGTCTTCATATCTAAGTCTCCACATCTATCTGTCTGTCTATCTATCTCACTCTTTACATCTAACTATTTATCATAAATTTGTGTATTTAGGCAGCAATCCTTCTTTCATGCACATTTCATTGAATACGAAGGTGCTTTTATTTAGTTTTTTTACACAATTTCTCATGCGATTTAATTTTTTTCTTTGCGGATGATAAATTATATAAAAACTGTCCGAATGCTCTTTTTATCCGAGCGCTTTCGGCTATACATTTAGCCATTTTCAAGGATGAATTATTTTAACTGTTAAATAAGAAATAATTTGTTGTATGTTTTATAAATTTTTTCCTTTTTCAAAATACGGTCAAGATATTGTGTCCATGTTCAAAGTTAATATTATTAAGTGTTGTTTTTTTGTTTTTATTAATAATGCTTCCATTATATTTAGCCTTTATTTTTTGCATGTAGATGATGCTATTATATTAGTGTTGTCAACAAGTATGTTACGAATAGTGTCCAGTAAGTCTCCATGAATATTTAAATGAGATCTAATTGAGCTATGGCCAGAAAGGTGTAGAGTGAGTCTGCGTGTCAAACATGTCGTAGTGTGGAATTATTTACGAATTTTGAATGATCAGGAATACAATGGGCATTTAAATTCGTAAATAATATTTGCCCTATTTAATTTTGTTTTAGGAGGTGAATTATTATTTTTAACTATAAGGTTAGAGGTTTTAAATTTTTTCGTAATAAATAGTTACTCTAACTTTTTTGCTATTATCAACTGGTTTTATACATTTTTTTATAATGTTCTTAATTCTGCTTTCATCCTGTTTATAATTTTTGTTTATTTATCATAACTATATATGTGTTCATATCTAGCTTAAGTCTTCATACTTACTTATCTATCTCAATCTTTACATCTATCTATTTGTCATATCTAAGTCTTCCAATCTACAGGGTGGGATGGGTAAATTGTCGCTATTTTATATTTTTAATTTCACGCATGCGCATTGTTTGTTTTTGATTTTGTCGACTGCACAATATACTATGGTCAGTTGGGTATCGTCTGTGAGTACCATAACGCAATTCAGTCCACCAGAAATATTATCTGACCCAAGACGTGGATGTAGTTCATCGTCATACCCAGGACGATTTTCATTTTTCTCTGAATCTGTTTTTATGTTACAGTCGTATTTCTGTTTGTTATCACTTCCTTTAATCTATCTCTGTTTTTCTTCTTTTCCTTCTTCCCTTTTTTTTTCCGCTCTCTTTTTGCAAATCTTTTTTCCATCGCTTTAATTTTATTCTCGCTTTCTTTCTTTATTTCTTCTTTCTTACTTTTTTTCTTTGAGTCTTTTTTCGCCTGTTCTAATTTTTCTTTCCCTTTCTCTAAATCTTTGACTGTTTTTCTTTATTTCTTTCTTTCACGCACTGTTATGGCGTGTGAATTTTTTTTTTCTTCTTCCACCGTATGAATCCGAATACCTCGTCGCCAAGTGTGTTATGGAGTAGTTTCACAGTGGAGGCTTGTAGTTGTACTAAGTCGGTCCTAAAATAGGTTCGACGTACAAAACGTTAGGAACTTGATATAATAGGTAATGACGCAGAGAAATCTAGTGGTGCTCGCTGATACTTTAGTATCCGACTAACGGTCGTCTGACATCGACTGACTGACCAACTCACTGAGCGACTTAGCGACTCTTACTACTCCTACTTATTATAGGTGGAAGAGTCTATTAACTATAGAATAGGTATGTTCCTCTATAACACATACGCACAGATGCGGATGTATATAGGGACAAATGCACTCATATACGTAGTCAACAGACCATCAATTTTCCGGTGACCTTAAAGAGAAAGGAATATAGAAACTTTCTTCGTGGCCCAGCGGACAAAGCGCGCCGTATCAGACGGTAATTCTTCCATAAATGGGGCACGTACGTTCAAATCCTCTCGAAGGGCACATTTTCTTTGATAAGTTTTCTTGAACAATCACTGTTAAAAAACAGGGTGTCAACTCAAATACACTAAAAATAACGTTTGAAGTAATAGAAGATAAAAAATGTCAATAAGGTTATCAGTATCCGACACAAAATTAACTTTAGTCAAGCTCACTAAGTATATTATGCGTTGCTTTCCTCTGTCCATCTTGACCTCAATCTATCCTGTGAGTATCAAATTTTCCAAGCCCTCTTTCCTCATTATGTGTCCTAGTAATTTCAGATGTCTCTTCCTGATGTTAAGCATAAGCTGGCCTTCATTGTCTGTAGATCTTTGTCTTTGTTCACATGTTCGGTCCATGATATCCTTCTGTAGAACCACATTGATTCAAATCTCAACTTCATCTTTGAGGAGATTGTCCAGAATTCACGAGAAGGATACATATTACGTAACAGTTCTTTTGTGCAAGTTTAGCTTTTCTTCCGTCAAATAAAAGCAGTTAAATCCTGCGTCTCCTGAAGTGACGCAATAGTTATATGTTCCTTATTTTTAGTATTTTCATTGTACGTTCAGGTTTTTACGTTTCCAAATATACTGTACTTTTCATTGTACGTTCCCAAATATATTGTAGGTTTCACTGTACATTCCCAAATATACTCAACGTTCCAAATATATGACATATTTAAATAGTTTTGTATTACTTATTTTCACTGCACCTTCAGGTTTGTACATTTCCAAATAAACTGTACGATTCACTGTACGTTTCCAAATATATGAAATATTTAAATACTTTTGTATTGCTTATTTTCAGTATTTTCACTGCACTTTCAGGTTTGTACGTTTCCAAATACACTGTACGTTTCCAAATATATGAAATAGTTAAATAGTTTTGTATTGCTTATTTTCAGTATTTTCACTGCACTTTCAGGTTTGTACATTTCCAAATACACTGTATGATTCACTGTAAGTTTCCAAATATATGAAATATTTAAATAGTTTTGTATTGCTTATTTTCAGTATTTTCACTGCACTTTCAGGTTTGTACATTTCCAAATACACTGTACGATTCACATTACGTTTACAAATATATGAAATATTTAAATAGATTTGTATTGCTTATTTTCAGTATTTTCACTGCACTTTCAGGTTTGTACGTTTCCAAATACACTGTACGTTTCCAAATATATGAAATATTTAAATAGTTTTGTATTGCTTATTTTCAGTATTTTCACTGCACTTTCAGGTGTGTACGTTTCCAAATACACTGTACGTTTCCAAATATATGAAATATTTAAATAGTTTTGTATTGCTTATTTTCAGTATTTTCGCTGCACTTTCAGGTTTGTACATTTCCAAATACACTGTATGATTCACTGTAAGTTTCCAAATATATGAAATATTTAAATAGTTTTGTATTGCTTATTTTCAGTATTTTCACTGAACTTTCAGGTTCGTACGTTTGCAAATACACTGTACGTTTCCAAATATATGAAATATTTAAATACTTTTGTATTGCTTATTTTCAGTATTTTCATTGCACTTTCAGGTTTGTACGTTTCCAAATACACTGTACGTTTCCAAGTATATGAAATATTTAAATAGTTTTGTATTGCTTATTTTCAGTATTTTCATTGCACTTTCAGGTTTGTACGTTTCCAAATACACTGTACGTTTCCAAATATATGAAATATTTAAATAGTTTTGTATTGCTTATTTTCAGTATTTTCACTGAACTTTCAGGTTCGTACGTTTGCAAATACACTGTACGTTTCCAAATATATGAAATATTTAAATACTTTTGTATTGCTTATTTTCAGTATTTTCATTGCACTTTCAGGTTTGTACGTTTCCAAATACACTGTACGTTTCCAAGTATATGAAATATTTAAATAGTTTTGTATTGCTTATTTTTTCAGTATTTTCATTGCACTTTCAGGTTTGTACATTTCCAAAAATACACTGTACGTTTCCCAAATATATGAAATATTTAAATAGTTTTGTATTGCTTATTTTCAGTATTTTCACTGAACTTTCAGGTTTGTACGTTTGCAAATACACTGTACGTTTACAAATATATGAAATATTTAAATAGTTTTGTATTGCTTATTTTCAGTATTTTTAATTGCACTTTCAGGTTTGTACGTTTCAAATACACTGTACGTTTCAAATATATGAAATATTTAAATAGTTTTGTATTGCTTATTTTCAGTATTTTCATTGAACTTTCAGGTTTGTACATTTCCAAATACACTGTACGATTCAAATATATGAAATATTTAAAAGTTTTGTATTGTTTATTTATCCTTTTCAACTTTAGGTTTTGTTTCAAATACACTGTTATTTTCAAGTATAGAAATATTTAAATTTTGTATTGCTTATTTTCAGTTTTTACATTTCCAAATACAGGTTTGTACGATTCATACACTGTAACGTTTACAAATATATGAAATATTTAAATAGTTTTGTATTGCTTATTTTCAGTATTTTAACTGCACTTTCAGGTTTGTACGTTTCCAAATACACTGTACGTTTCAAACGTTTACAAATATTTAAATAGTTTTGTATTGCTTATTTTCAGTATTTTCACTGAACTTTCAGGTTTGTACGTTTCCAAATACACTGTACGTTTCAAAATATATGAAATATTTAAATAGTTTTGTATTGCTTATTTTCAGTATTTTCATTGCATTTTCAGGTTTGTACGTTTCCAAATACACTGTACGATTCACATTACGTTTCCAAATATATGAAATATTTAAATAGTTTTGTATTGCTTATTTTCAGTATTTTCATTGCACTTTCAGGTTTGTACGTTTCCACATACACTGTACGTTTCCAAATATATGAAATATTTAAATAGTTTTGTATTGCTTAATTTCAGTATTTTCACTGCATTTTCAGGTTTGTACATTTCCAAATACACTGTACGATTCACATTACGTTTACAAATATATGAAATATTTAAATAGTTTTGTATTGCTTATTTTCAGTATTTTCACTGCACTTTCAGGTTTGTACGTTTCCAAATACACTGTACGTTTCCAAATATATGAAATATTTAAATAGTTTTGTATTGCTTAATTTCAGTATTTTCACTGAATTTTCAGGTTTGTACATTTCCAAATACACTGTATGATTCATTCAAATATATGAAATATTTAAATAGTTTTTTGTATTGCTTATTTTCAGTATTTTCACTGCACTTTCAGGTTTGTACGTTTCAAATACACTGTACGTTTCCAAATATATGAAATATTTAAATAGTTTTGTATTGCTTATTTTCAGTATTTTCACTGCACTTTCAGGTTTGTACATTTCCAAACACTGTACGACACTGTACGTTTACAAATATATGAAATATTTAAATAGTTTTGTATTGCTTATTTTCAGTATTTTAACTGCATTTTCAGGTTTGTACGTTTCCAAATACACTGTACGTTTCCAAATATATGAAATATTTAAATATTTTTGTATTGCTTATTTTCAGTATTTTCACTGAACTTTCAGGGTTCGTACGTTTCCAAATACACTGTACGTTTCCAAATATATGAAATATTTAAATACTTTTTATTGCTTATTTTCAGTATTTTCATTGCATTTTCAGGTTTGTACGTTTCCAAATACACTGTACGTTTCACATTACGTTTACAAATATATGAAATATTTAAATAGTTTTGTATTGCTTATTTTCAGTATTTTCATTGCACTTTCAGGTTTGTACGTTTCAAATACACTGTACGTTTCAAATATATGAAATATTTAAATAGTTTTGTATTGCTTATTTTCAGTATTTTCACTGCATTTTCAGGTTTGTACATTTCCAAATACACTGTATGATTCATGTACGTTTACAAACATATGAAATATTTAAATAGTTTTGTATTGCTTATTTTCAGTATTTTAACTGCACTTTTCAGGTTTGTACGTTTCCAAATACACTGTACGTTTCCAAATATATGAAATATTTAAATAGTTTTGTATTGCTTAATTTTCAGTATTTTCACTGAATTTTCAGGTTTGTACATTTCAAATACACTGTACGTTTCAAATATATGAAATATTTTACAAACTTTCAGGTTTGTGTATACACTGTACGTTTCCAAAATGAAATATTTAAATAGTTTTGTATTGCTTATTTTCAGTATTTTCACTGCACTTTCAGGTTTGTACGTTTCCAAATACACTGTACGTTTCCAAATATATGAAATATTTAAATAGTTTTGTATTGCTTATTTTCAGTATTTTCGCTGCACTTTCAGGTTTGTACATTTCCAAATACACTGTACGATTCACTGTACGTTTACAAATATATGAAATATTTAAATAGTTTTGTATTGCTTATTTTCAGTATTTTAACTGCACTTTCAGGTTTGTACGTTTCCAAATACCCTGTACGTTTCCAAATATATGAAATATTTAAATAGTTTTGTATTGCTTATTTTCAGTATTTTCACTGAACTTTCAGGTTCGTACGTTTCCAAATACACTGTACGTTTCCAA